ATAATGCCTCATTTCAGAGATATAGAGGCCGAAATGTTGTGAATATGACAATGAAGATGAGGATAAAAGTCCGAATAATATAAATAATGCAAGTAATCATGATGCCTCATTTCAGAGATATAGAGGCCGAAACGTTGTGAATATGACAATGGAGATGAGGATAACAGTCCGAATAATGTAAATAATGCAAGTTATCATAATACATCATTTCAGAGATATAGGGGCCGAAACGTTACTAATATAATAATGAAAATGAGTAAAGCAGTCCGAAAAATATAAATAATGCAAGGAACCATAATGCCTCATTTCAGAGATATAGAAGCCGAAACTCTGTGAATATGCCATTGAAGATGAGGATAAAAGTCCGAATAATATAAATAATGCACGTAATCATAATATCTCATGCCAGATATATAGACAGATATTCAGTACACATTGCCGATTCCAGATATTCGGAGATTGCAGACCTGGCTGTATCAGAACATATGTAAATTCTGACGTTGACCTTTCCGAAAGCATGTTTGCACAAACTGAGAAAATCTCTTCTCTAACATATTGTCGATCCTACCTATGTAGTCAGCCTCGCGTTAATCCTTTGGTAATTAACAGAACTAGCTTGCTGGAGAGTTACACGGATTTTATAAAAATATTTATTTTCCAGAAAATCTTATTCACTTGCATTGAGCTTGAACTTTCTTTTTAGATCCTATTAAACAGAGAGTGAGAATTTCGGATCAAAATTTCACTAAAATTACGCGCTGGGTTACATACTTATTGATTTCCCATCGTATATATCTTTGGCTACACAATACCAGGTAACATCCATAAACATGGCGGATCAAATAAATTAAGATTCTTTACATACCGGGCTTTCATGGAAGAATCGCTTGGTGAACAGATTTGAAACATTGGAACAAAGAAGAAAAATATTTAATAAAAACAAATAACCTTTTTCCCTTTTCCAAAGGGATTTAGTAGAAAACGCCATCTGACCAATATTTATTGTCCACAAACCTGGTTTGAATTGCCGGCATAAAATGGCGGGTATCACATATCCGGTTTAAGAGTTTCGTGTGCGTCGAATGTTATTGACTACCGGTTGGAGGAATTAAAACCAAGAATATCGAAGCAGTGGGTAGTTTTCTGATTTTTGTTTTCTTTTTTCCTCTTTTGGATAAAATATCTTGTTTCTTACTGCGAGAGTGAAATTTCCGAGATTTGTGACATTGATTGGTTGAGAGTTTGTGTCAGACCAGTGGATATAAAGGCATTGCGTTTACGAACCATTATATATATATATATATATATATATATATATATATATATATATATATATATATATATTCCATCTCTATATATATATACATATATATATATATGTAATTTATTTTCAGATAGAGTGTATCTAAAAAAACAAAAGAAATAAATGAGACATTGCCTCGATAAAGACCTTCAGAGTACGAAACGCATCGACTAAGAGCAGTTTTTCCTCTTGTGTCTTTTATATAAAGATTTAGTTTCGATTCGGGCTTGAAGCATTCAGTTGTCTAGTCGTACTGAGGAGATGTGATACAGCGAAACAGTACTTTCTGCCAATGACACACACACACACATATATATATATATATATATATATATATATATATATATGAAGAAATATAGTCTTAAGATGTGCTATATTTATGGGATAAAGTGCTCAATATCAGAGATAGAGCGTGTAAATATATGTTCACTTTATATATATATATATATATATACACACACTATATATATATATATATATAAAATATCAATAAGAAAACTTGATTATATATCTTACTGTTCTTTCTTGATATATATATATATATATATATATATATATATATATATATATCAAGAAAGAACATAATATATATATATATATATATATATATATATATATATATATATATATATCGGATATATATATATATCGGATAAAGATATATATATATATATATATATATATATATCAAGAACAAATTTAAGAATAAGAAGTATGACAACTTAGCCTGATGGAGTCCAATACACACACACAAGCACACACACAAACACATACACACACACATATATATATGTGTGTGTGTGTGCGTGTGTGTGTATGTAAATTATTTTCAGATAGAGTGTACCTGTAAAGGAACAAAATCAATAAAAAGAGACATTGCCTTGATAAAATCACTTAGAGAACGAAACGCGTCGACCAAGAACAGTTTTTCCTTTTATGTTTTTATTATTCAAATATATATATATATATATATGTGTGTGTGTGTGTGTGTGTGTGTGTGTGTGTGTGTGTGTGTGTGTGTGTAAGACACAAGAGGAAAACAAATTCTAAAATTAAGGTTGACAAATTAAGGAAAATGATCCATAGAGAATTAAAAAGTTTAAACATTATGGTTAAAATATATACTAGTGTCAAAACAGGTAGATTTCCTTGATGTAACGTTGGATCTTCTTAATGATGCATTCTAACATTATATAA